TGGCCTGGGGGCATTAGAGATCGGGTGATGGTGTGGGCTGATCTGGCGTGGGATCACTTAGCGGTTGGGTTATGGTGCTGGCTGATCTGTCCTGTGTTGGTGAGTTCCCCAGTTGCTCACTGTCCTTGACGTCCTATCCCCTCCCATTTCAGCGCCGCAGGTGAGTTCTTCCCTGAAGCTGCGCAGGTGGCCTATCGGATGTGGGAGCTTAGTGCAGTGGCTAAAGTAGAGGTCAGAACCCACTCCAATCCCTCCTCCTCTGCTCCCTGCTAGCTTGGAAATCACAGCTTCCTCCCTCTGCGCACTGGCACCTTCTAACTGGCTGCTGCCCTGGCCAATCAGACATCTGTACCGTGCATATTAACACGAGGTTTCCCTTGAGGTTCTAATTTCCAGTTTGAGTTAACCCCAGAAGTGCTGGATGCTCCCCCCCACGCGGCAGCAGCATGTGTATCTACTAACACATGTTGCTAACACTGAAATGCAAGCCTGGTGGATCCTGCTGGGTGCTGGTGCTGTCCAGTGCCATGTCAGCACCGTACACTGCGTGCAATCTGGAGCTTGGCTTCAGTGCCTCACGGAGGTCTCCTGCACATGCAGCAATGGGGCTCAGGGGGCCTTGTGTTCACCACATTAATGGTGTTGCACTGATGAGGCATCCCAGGGCTCTGCGGGGGGGAAGGTGATGGGGGTGGATATGCTTTCAACCCCCTGAGGAATGGCAGCGCGGCAGATCTTCTAGGAACCTTTTGCAGATCTTGTGTGTGTGACCAGGGGGCTCAGTCCCCAGCAGCGAGGCTGTTCAAGGAGCCTCCTGGGAATGTTGCCTGGCAGAGTATTAGATGAGGAGCAGGGTTGGGTTGGGTGGCAAGGACCTTCCCAGCCCAGTCAGCCTGTGGAGGGGCACGGACGGCTCCATTCCCGTTGGTGGGAGCTGCATGAGGACACCCGAGGGTAGAATTTGGCCTAATGCGGGAGGGGAAAGACTTTCATCCCCTTTGTGCTGCTGACTCCCAGCTCTCAGCTCTGTCCCTTCGCCTGGCGTGGGAGGTGGTGAAGCCCAGTCTGGCTCTCGTGCAGCATGAGGCGAGGATGGTATTTATACAAGCAACAGCGCCTCCTCTTCAGGGCTTCTTGGCTATTTCCTTCCCTGGGGGCCAGTATCTGGACACGGCTGGCTCGGCATCCACACACAGACCCCCACCTGCTTTCTAATCCCACTCGCTGCTTTGCCTTTGGCTTGCTGGTTAACACGCCTTCTCCCTCTGTTTCTTCTCCTCTCCTGGCCCAGTGGGCTTCTGGATTTAATCTAAAACCTCTTAACCTTTCTGCAGCTGAGAGGAACCGTGCGCCCGGCTGCAGACTTTAATGCTGATGGTGACGCAAAGGTGCTGAGGAAGGCAATGAAGGGACTTGGTAAGTAGGACACTGTGGGCACTGGTGGAAGGTGGGCGGCCCTGTCTCCTCTGTCTTCTGGGGAAATGTTCCACTCCCTAGTGGATTCTAGAGCAGAAAACCCGTGAAGGACTGAGACTAGCTGCATAAAGATCTAGAAACATATCGACTGGAATAAAGAACTGTCAGCATTAGGCTCAGGCAGCTGGAGTTGGAGCTGCGTAGAGTGCAAAGCTTGTGGTGAAGGATTTACTCAGAGAGTTTGGCCCATTTTCCATATCACTGATTGTCCCTCAACAGACGGACTTTGTTTTGCATGTTTTCTGCAAACATATTTCAGCCTAAAAGGCATCTGCAAACTCTTCACACCAGTGAGTATGCCTTCAAGTGTTAGAGATTTGCACGGGTGTGACTGGTCACGAAAGTCATGTGATTTTTTTTCTGTTCCCCCATTGGATGGTCTAACTTTTAGAAGCTACTTCCACCCAATATGAATTTTATTTAGTTAGGGAACAAACTTTGATTCCTGAGTAGACGATTCTGGGCCATGGGCCACAAATCCCCTTCTCATGAACACTTGGGTTCCTGCCCTTTGCTTGTGCACATCTTTGTGGGAAGGAAACAGGAAGAGAGGAGCACCTGGGTGACTGAGATGTTTATGGATAGTTGCTCTCAATTCACCCAGCTCTGGTCTACAAGTAGGAAGGGAGGGGCTGTTTGGGATGGCCCAGGAGGGATATCAGAGGATGTGATTAAATGTGATCAAAGGGAAATGTAGACTAAATATCAGGACACTTCCTGCCAGTGGGATCTCCCGGAGTGTCTCTCTGTCTCTGGACAGCTAAAGCCCATCTCTTAGGTCATTGAAAATTAGACTGGAGAACATACAGTAGGGAACAGCCCTTCGCTGGCAGGCTGATAAACTAATCAGGCCCTTTGGTGTCTATATTGAGGAAAGTGTCTGGGGTACCTGACTCTGGCTCTCAGGGCTAGCAGTGTAGGCACTTGGGCTCTGGCTGGAGCCTGGCATCTGAAACCCAGCAAGGGGGGAGGGTCTCACAGCCCAGGCCTGTACGTCTACTTTCCTATTTGTAGCCCCACAAACCTGAGTCATGGTGCCATGGCTGACACACTGTGGGTCAGGAGGAAGCAGGGTTAATGTCAACCTAACAGTTAGCTGTAGCCTCACCTTTCTCCTGGTAGGGGCGATTCCCAGAATCGTAGCTACCCGAGCTAGAAAAGTCTCATTAGACTTTCAGTGGGACTTAGGCGCCTAAGTCACTTTTGAAAATGGGACTTGCTCCTCACTGATTTCTAGACACTTGAAAATTCTCCCCCGAGTGTCCAATTGTTTTGCTGGCGGAAGTTGCTGTTGCCAACTATGCTCAGCTCTCTAGTCAGGTTCTCCCCATGACTGGCAGACGCTGCACAAGCCCAGCCCCGGGGAGTGCTGCCAATTTGGGGTGATCGTGTGATACCACTGCCTTGGAGGTGCTGTGCTGACTGACTCTGAATACCAGGCCTGTTGTTAGAAATGGTCTTAGGGTGGGGAAGGCTTCTGCCCCAAGCCCCTCACAATCCTGCTGAGAAGGGTCTAGATAGAGGAGCTCCCAGTCCCCTAGACACCCATCTTTCCGCCTCACAGGCCTTGTGGCAGCAAACACGTCTCAGGAGCTTGGACTTTGCTGGGTGGCCCTGTCTAGAGCCTGGACTGGCTCAGTCTGTGCCTACCTGTCCTTCAGGCCCATCCCCGCAGTGCGAAGTCCCCTGGTCTTCACGTGGGCTGGTTTCTGTGTCATTGCAGGCACTGACGAAGGCGCCATCATTGATGTGGTCACACAGAGGAGCAACGCTCAGAGACAGGAGATCTTGAGAACCTACAAGTCTCACTTTGGCAGGGTAATGACGCAGGCTCCTTTCCCCTGACGCTTCCTGCCACCTTCCCGTCCTTTCTGCTCTTTCCCTTCCGTCTGGTTGCTCATTTTCACCTTCTCTTTCCCCACTACTGTCTCCTCTGTCTCCCCCAGGCCTGACGAAGCTGTGAGAGGGGAAAGACTCACAGACAGAGTTCAGCATCTTTCGTATCTATCCCTTTCCTGTGAGAGAAATCCCAGTCAGGAAGGAGTCTGGTCTTTAGTGGAAAGTTCTTCTGTCCATTCTCGCCCAAATAACCCTGTCAATAAGGGCCATGTTTTCAAAATGGGGCCAGTTTTTGGATGCCTCAAGTTTTGAGTGTCCAACTTTAGACAACTTGGGGTCTGATCTTCCAAGAGCTGAGCTCCTGCCTGTGAAATGGGGTCTCCTGTGGGGCATCCCAGAACAGAGGCACTCATAATGAGAGGAGACGCTTGAGAATTTGGGCCCATTTCCATGTCTCCATAGTAGCTGCACTTCACACTCATTGATGGATTTTCTCCTCATGTCACCCAAAGTGCAGAAGTATTTAGCCCCTTTTTACAGATGGGGCACTGAGGCACAGGGTAGCCTAAGTATTTGCCCATGGTATTTCTTCTTTATTCCCCTCTCTTATTCCTGCGTTCTGCACCTTTCCCCTTGCTAGCCAGCAGGGAGCGCTGAAGATTAGGGGGTAGCCATGACTCCCTCTATCACTAGCTGCTCCGAGCTGTGATTGGTGAGGAAGACAGAGTTAAACATGATGACATCCATCCCTTTTGCAGGATCTGATGGCCGATCTGAAATCAGAGCTGTCGGGAAGCTTGGCCAAGCTGATCCTTGGACTGATGATGACACCGGCACAGTTTGATGCCAAGCAGCTGAAGAAAGCCATGGAGGTAAATTGTTCAGTCGAAAAATTCTCCACAGCTGTGTCTGAGAGTTAGCCATGGTGCTCCCGCTGCACTCTAGCCAGGCTTCCAGGGCTGCGTGGCCCAATGCACGGGAGCAATGCCATAGAGGGTGGCATCTTTCATCCAGTTGGCGATTTCCGTTTGCTTCTCCTGTTGCAACAAACGAACAGGGAGAGAGGCAGGGGATAGGCCCAGACCCAAAGCAGAAATAATTAGAATACCTAGTTCTCATACAGCTCTTATCAGTAGATCTTAAAGCTCTTTACAAAGGAAGTGAGTATGATGACAGGTGGGGAAAATGAGTCACGGGGAGGTGAAGTGACTTGCCGTAGGTCATTCAGCAGGCATGGGGCAGAGCTGGGAATAGGACACAGGTTCACTGAGGACCCGTGCAATGCTCTACCCGCGAGGCCATGCCAGCAGGAGTTTGGGATAGGAGCTATAATGGGAAGGAAAGCAAAATATGACAACCCGGGACAGCACCATTTGTCAGCGAAGAGAGAGAGCAGCAGCCCTGGGGCAGATGCAGCTCAGAGACTTGATGTGCATCCCACGTGTCCTAATCGTCCCCACCCCAACAAGAAAACATGATGATAGAGAAATACTTTGCTGTGATTCCTACCCTCTCCGGAGCCTGCTGCAGCTCTTAGCATTTAGAACAGCAGAACTTCCCTTTAAAAACCCAATGGGCACCTGCAGGATTTTCAGGGCCAAAGGGATTTTTCTTGCCTCCTTGAATCCAGAGAGCTCTTGAAGGGGCCGGTGGATCACTGAATGCCTAACTGCAGTGAGCGAATCCCC